ATCGTGTGTGTCGTCATCGTCGTGTGTCGTCATCGTGTGTCGTCATCGTCGTGTGTCGTCATCGTGTGTCGTCATCGTGTGTGTTTCCATACAACGATGAAACAACTTCTCTGCATCATCACACCTGAGATACGCCCAGGTGGAGAGTGGGCAGCTTTGTAAACACCCGGGAGCAGTTGGGGATTAGGTGTCTTGCTCAAGGGCACCATGACATGTGGGCATGGTGGGGAGTTGAACCTGTGACTTTCTGGTCCCAAGTCGGCTCTACACCATCTCAGCCCTGCCAGTAAAATCTCAGGAGCCTTGGGGTTTCCATCAGCCTGTTGGGCTGAGGTCGGCCAGCTGCTTGAATCCAGGACCTGGTCCTTTCAGTCCTGATCCAAACCTCCTGACCACAGGTGAGGGTTGGAACGTAGACCAATAAATCAAGAGCTCGACCTTTTGACTCAACTCTTTCGTCACCACAACAGTTGGAGCGACACACTCATTACTGAGGACATGGCCCCGCTCCATACTACCATCACTCAGGAACCGGACGCCCAGAAACCAAGTCCTCCACCCGAGGCACAAAGTTCTGTGGAGTCGGGAACCAAGAGGTCCATTTCTTTCAGACCACGACACAAAACTTATTGAAGCTACAAAAACTCTGGCGTTGCCCTCGTCATAGAAAAGTGTCCTGCTGCACAAAGGTCAGAATGCTCAACGGTAATTTTCAGCAGTTCACATGAAACGGGCGACTTTCTAAAGAAAGTGATGATCAAATAAAAACTGTAGACGGCATGAACCAGACCGCCGCTTGTTGCACTTTAAAGCTTTTTAATTCTTCAAAATAAAACGTCCGACACGGAACGCTTCGTGTGAACGTCCGTTTTATATAAAAAGAAGTTGCACTGTCGAGTTTCCCTCTGGGATTAATAATCTGTCCTTTAATTTCATCTTCTATTTACAGCCTAACTTGCCCCGATGTGTCGACGCCATGAACAGGACCTGAAAGCTTCTGAAAGTCAACATTTTTTAGACATAGTACAAATATTTAGTTATATATAAAGTGGTGACATATTATTACTAAGCCCTAAAGATAATGATTACAATCGAAAGCTGATATTTGTAATAAATGATGTAAATCAGTGATTTTAAAATGAAAGCAGTGCCAGTCCAGAAACGGCCCGTGGTGATGATCATAAGGGTTTCTTCAGAGTTTACTAAATCCTAACCTTTAACTGTTCTTGTCTGCTCAGTCAGCCGCACACGTTTGTGTTTTCTTTTCAGACTTTATATTTTATGAATCGTTTCATTAACAGGACGTTCATCTTTGAACAGTGACGTTGGTTTGACTCCACATCAGCCAGATTCTTGACCCATTTGAATATTTTATGTGCGGTTTAAAAAACCAGGAAGTCGGGTCTGGTTTCAAACAAAGCCCGTCTGTGGACAGATTGTTGTTCTTCTGGGTTCTGAAGGTTCTCCCGTGGGTTTGTGTAAATAAACCTGAAACTTAGACCTGTCTTTACTGAATCTGCATCCCCATCTTACCCCAAGTGCCTGCCTTTTGTTGTCCTTCCGCCCTTTTTGAATTTGTTGCTGGAAAAAATAAATGAGAAGCTGTGCACTTCCTGCTCCGTCTTAATGTCTTCACGAGTCTGTGACCCATCGAAGCTCCTCAGACTAGATGAACAAACATGGTCCTCTTGATCCACTGCTCGCATAGCTGCTTCTATGAAACTACGAGTTTAAGGCTCCAACACCCTGATGAGTATCTCCAACTGTTAGCATCACCTCCAGATGTTAGCATCACCTCCAACTGTTAGCATCACTTCCAGCTGTTAGCATCGCTTCCAACTGTTAGCATCACCTCCAGCTGTTAGCATCACTTCCAGCTGTTAGCATCACTTCCAGCTGTTCGCATCACCTCTAGCTGTTGGCATCACTTCCAGCTGTTAGCATCCCCTCCAGCTATTAGCATCACTTCCAGCTGTTGGCATCACTTCCAGCTGTTAGCATCACCTCCAGCTGTTAGCATCACCTCCAGCTATTAGCATCACTTCCAACTGTTAGCATCACTTCCAGCTGTTAGCATCACCTAGCTGTTCGCATCACCTCCAGCTGTTAGCATCACCTCCAGCTGTTAGCATCACCACTAGCTGTTGGTATCACTTCCAGCTGTTAGCATCACCTCCAACTGTTAGCATCACCTCC